ACAGATAGAGGTGGGAGAGAGACAGAGAGAGAGGTACAGGTGGGAAGAGAGACAGACAGACAGAGATACAGAGGGGGAGGGAGGTTTCAAAGGGGTTTTGAGGTTCTCTGCCCTAATGACTGGCTGGATACGAGTGGCTAAGGGGTCATGTGACTGAGTGGGAGTGAGTGATGAGTTGGCCACACCCACTCAGGTTTTGTGACTCCCGGTGCTTTTTCTGTAGGAAATGGGTCCAAATGGCTCTTTGAGTGTTTAAAGTTGCAGACCTGAGTTAACCCCTGCAGCTGTTAAATTAGTAACACAATTGTTAAGTGAATATGGCTTCCCCATTGACTTTGGTTGTCAGAAGGTCGCAAAAGGGGATCAGATTACTCTGGGACACTGCAACTGTCATAAATACATCCAGTTGCCAAATGGTTGAATTTTGATCACATGACCATGGGGATGCTGCAATGATTGTAAATGTAAAAAATGGTAATAAGTCACTCCTTTCAGTGATGTTGTAAATTGTAACAATCAGTAAATGAACTGGTTTAAGTTGAAGACTACTTGTATATGAAATATCAGTTAATTATATCAGATATTTGAGGTGCTGTGAACAAGGTACTTCAAAACTAACTTGAATCATTTTTAAATAATTTAAATTGTGTGCTTAAAAAAATGTCTGGCACCCAGTAAACCGAAAAGGAAAGAATAATTTATCTCTAAAAGCTATTTAATTTTTGAAGTAGTAATAATTGGGCTTATATAGTGTACTGTGAAGTAGTATATAAGTCTAAGTGCTCTTGCTATTGTTTAGTAAATATGGAGTTCATATAGAAATCAGTGGTCTGTTTAAAAATTCTAATCTTCAGAAAAGATCACATTGTGAATTCTGTTCCTAAGTCAAAGCTCTTTTAGTATTAGATTGATGTAATTTTTCTCATATGTTCAGTCATTATTCTCCATAATAAAGAATGGAGTGCCATAACTTCTTATCCTGCCCTGTTACCAAAGAGGTTCGAGTTCAAATACTAAAGAAAATATCTAATTGGAAAAGCTACTGTACATAAGTGTAACAGCCACCCTTATTAAAGATCAGACAACTCATGACCCCTTGGATCATCCTTTCAGAGGCATTTCCTTACCAGATTCATCAATGCCTTCAGCAATTACAGAGCTTCTATTGTACTGCCTTCACTGAAAAAGTCAGGATATATTCAGAGATGTACCTGCCTTGAAAATAGCCCAAGTTGAATTGCATTGCACAAACATTACCATAGCAATTGTCATAAACAATTTTCTGTTTATGTTTAGCCCATGCTGAGCTATATAAGTGAGTCAAATATCAGCACAGAAAATGTTTTGTGACATTTTTATTATGTTATAAACTGCTTTATGACAATGCTTATGTCACATTTTATAAATTTTGCCGAATTTGCTTTCTATGGGAGTTATGTATCCTGGATTTTGAACTCATTGGGTAAGTTAGCCCATTTGAGGTACCTTAGTTCAAAAAGCATTTGCCCTATGGTACATAGTTTCACCCAATTAAGGAATCAATGTTAGTAGAATATAAATAGATTGTCAAGACGTATATTATAACTGGTATTAGAGGATAGAAAGAAGCTAGGAATCAGAGCTCTGATCTGTCTGCAAGATTATATGTAGGTACAATGAGGGTTCCCTACGACCATAAATCAATATCTTCTCATTGTATTTTGTATTACCTAACATTTTCAAAGGCAGCTATGGTATATAGAATCCATATTATAGTAATGAAGGCTAGACATTTAAGGATTTTGAAGACATATAGTTGCTTCTTTCTTTTTTATCATTCACAAGCATTATAGAGACATTTCAATAAATAAACATGGATAAGAAAAACATCCACAGTGGCTGATATAACTCAAGCCTCTATACACTACTTGATTTTACAAATAGACACATATGCAATTAGAATTGCTAAGAATTTGCACATCACCAATAAACATTAACCAGACTAAACACGCCAGTGATTCAGATATTTAAAGAAATGTTTCCTGCTATTGTGACTTCCTTTATAAACTAATAATTAGAAGATAATTAAAGTTACAAAATTGCTGTTAAAATATGATCAAAATATGGCCAGGAAGGGTAGAGTTTGCAGTCTTCATCATGTGTGTATCTTGTATGTGTATGTACATATAACAAGATACTTCATATAAATAAGCAAAATCATTGAAAAAAATTGAGCAAAAATTTTCAAAAGCAGAAACATAATTATCTACCATTTTGAGATAGGAAACCAACAAAAACTTTAAGTGACATAAAGCTACAAATGTGATTTTAAAAGCAAATAAATTCAACTCAATTCCCCACATTTGGAAAACAAAAAGAATCTTACCTCATACATGGCCTTACCTCATACATGACCTCTATTTATCATGAATTAGTGAACCCTCTACAAAAACATTGTGTCTTCTCAAGGAGTACACATTTCTATTCTATATTTCTAGTTGTTTGACACTCAAATACAAAGAATTATTCCCCATTCATGCAATATAATCACTTTTATTCTGGAATTTAAGGAATTTACAACTGGTTTAACACAACATAGTACTTCATGTTTTTCCCAAATGAGTAATAAGAGTAGAATAGCCTTGTTTATTCAATGACCTTTATTCTAACTCTCTCATTTGTAGCTGAACAATCCCGCCCACATCCACATTCCCAAAATTACATCAGAACATCCTGACAGAAATTCTAAATTCCTGGAGGATATCAATTATACATTATACAATTATACCCAAGAACAGAGGAAGTCACTCATCTGATAAAATGACTGTGTGGATTATAAATGAGATATCACAGTTGATCCTTATTTTTATAAACTTCATGAGCAGCATTCAATAAAGTCATATAAACATGCCTTTCTATGAGTTCCTCTTTCTACCACAAATTTCTTAAAAAATTATACTTGACAAACTTCAGTTACTTTGAGTTTAGCTCAGATAAAAAACAGGGTAAGAACTGTTGTAATATCCCCTGCTGATGTAACCTTTTCAGTTTAACACTTGTCATAATCTCTCTGAAAATCAAACTTGATTTAAATATACTGAGTTCCATATAAGTGGATTGACAGAAAACTTTCTTCTTTCCCAATACATACCCTGGAAGAAACAGCTTCCATAATCCAAATAGATGTATTTAAAGTGCTTAGAGATAAACTGACATAAACATGTCTGTTAAAAAGGTGAACAGTTTATCCCTAAGTGCTTTAAAACCTCAGATAAGATTTGTCAATACTGTAGAATACTGCATTCTTTGTTCAAAATATTATAAAGTATAGATTCTAGTAAGCATGTTTCAAAGTATAGTACAGTTGTGGTTTCTGTTCTGGAAAAAAACAATGTAATGATTAATTTTTGGTAGGACTTGTCATTGGAAATAAAGCAGCGATAAGAATGTTAATAAGGACTAGGGAGATTAAGATTTAAATTTTCATAACAAATCTAAAAATCAGTTGCTGTCTTTCAATCCAACTTACAATGCAGAGTTTTTGTGAGGATAATATGGGGACACGTTTACTAGCTTGTGCTCCTGGAAAAAATAGATAGATAACATAGCTGCAATCTTTAATTCCTAAACTGGTTATTCAGAAGAAAGCTGGTTATTCAGCATTATTTCAGTCACATTCTGAGATCATTTCCTTGGAAATAAATGATACCCTTCCAAAAATGAAATATTTCTCAGAATCATGCCTTAGCTATACTTTCTAGTGCAGGAGTGTCAAACTCAATTTCATTGAGGGCCTCATCAGGGTTGTGTTTGATCTCAGAGGGGCGGGGGGGGGGGAACGGGACCTGGCCAACTTGACATCACTCGTGTCAGCAGCACATGTAAAAGCCAAGTGCTAAGGCAGGACTTCCCTCATTACAACCTTCCTTCCTTCCTTTTTCCCCTTTCCTCTTCCTTCTTACCTTCCTCTCTTTCCTTTTTTTCCTTCCTTGCTCACTTCCCATCTTTCATTCTTTTTCTTTCCTCTTTATCTTTCTCCTTTCCTGTCCTTTCTTACATGCTCAAATGCAAAAGGGGAAACATTTCTCCTTTTGTTTTGTTTTTAGTTTGTTTTGCTAGCCCTCTGCCAGCAAAAGGGGGGGGGGGCATGTGCAGCCCCAAGCGCCGTTTTCACTGGCAGAGGCACCATGACTTGGTCCTTTGCTGTTTCCACAATGGCCCTGTGGGCCAGATCTAAGCACTCAGCGGGCCGAATCAGCCCACGGGCCTTTTGAGTTTGACACCCCTGTTCTAATGTTGTATATTTCTTAGGGAACATACTGAATTCTTAATTATGAACCAATAACCACGAACAATCTACACCATCACAGATGAACATGTTACTTTATCATCTCCAATAAAATTTAAATAAATGAAAAAGAAAAAAGTCATTACAGTAAAGGGAACGTCGAATCCTTACGGGCTCTGCAAGTAGAGTCGAGGAGCGCCCATCTTCCAGCCAAGTTAAAAACTAGGTAACGGGACATTTTTAAAATGTCTTGATTTACTTGAAGGTTGTTAAGAAAACGCAAGAAGAGAGGACCAATTACGCTCTGAAGAATCCCCAACCACATTTTGTGCTATCATCCTTTAAGGGAGGTACCGTAGCAATTATGCCGGATCAGGTTACCGACGCTGAGGAGAAGCGAGCACGGAGAAGAAGAAAGTGGCCTCATGCGCAGAAGATTGCATTGTGAGACGGATGAGAGAGGGCGCGCCTTTAGTAAAGGCAGCGAAGGACAGCAGTCGTACCTGAAGCGTATCTCGCTCAAGAGTACGTGACAGAACCTTCGCGTGTCCAGAATCCTCCGCCAGCAAACCTACCCTCACCGCCCCCTCCCCCGCATGAAAAGATCCCGCAGCTCTGAGTCGGTTTCTTTACTACCTGACATAGAAACTGGTTGGCTGAGTCAGTCCCGTCCTCGGGAATGACGCAGACAACCTCCGTTTGATAGGCAGGTACGCTCGGACGCAGCCATGTTGGGAGCGGAAGTGAAGTGAGTAATAACCTCAGCCGCTGGACAAGTCAGGCGCTGGGGTTAGATTTACCGAGTGGCGAAAGCTTCCAGTTGAACGTCTGCTCCTACGCCGGCGTGGGTACCCTTGCCTCATCCGGAAGGGCAGGAACCGCGTCTCCGGCAGTCTCCTCCCCTTGCCAGGGAGGGAGGAAAATAACGAAGAGGGATCCTATGTCTCAGTGGTGTTCCTGAGGGGCGGCAGGAGACAACGGCGGGAGCGTGAAGTTAAAGAAGATGCCGTTGGCACAGTTGGTAGACCCCTGGCAGAAAATGGCTGTGGAGAGTACGGCCGAGAGCGGCAGCAGCGTCGAGGTAAGCGCGTGGGGCATTCCCGGATTTGCGGGCTCGGCTGGGCAACCGCGTGAAATCCCGCCTGCGCGACCAGGAGGAACGGCGGGAGAACCAGGAGGAAAACCTCGGTCACCTCCTTAGCAAAGGAGCGGCGCTGCCCCGTTGCCGCCTCTTCGTCTGTCTTTCATTGAGAAGACCTTAGAGAGTCAGACGCGCTCCATTTCCTCTTTTTATTCCTTTTAGAGGCGCTGGGCGGAAGCCGGGAAGTAAAACGCTTCCTGCTTGCCTTGCCTCTTTGACTCGGGCTGCCTTAATCCTGTGCCCTCGAAGTACGTTGGGCTGCAAATCTTATTACTCCCAACTAGGGCGGTGGAGGATAATGGAAGCCATTTATCCAGCAAAGCTGTTTGACCTCAAGATAGTCTCATATCACTACCTCAAATCGATTTTTCAGTTTCGTTGTGACGGTCTTTGTCTACCTTTACCTCCTCCATTTCACTGACTAAATTAGTTGTTGAATTCTTACCTGTTCGCTTATAGTCCCCCTTTCTATAACCCTAGAGTACTGTACACATACAGCAGACTTCTGATATAAAACTTTATAATACACATCTTTACTTCTCTTCCCTGCAGCAAATTAACACGCTTTTGAAAGTGTTTACTCTATTATCCTTTTACATTAATTTCCTTTGCAAACAAGTAAAGGGAGGATTTTCCAAATAACTTTTTGTATGCTTGCAGAATGCTGTTCCTTCTAAATAATGGAATATTGGGGGGGGGAGGGGGGACACCCAAAAACTTTACACTTTTGTATTACAAAGTAGGATTTGAATTGTATGCCTTTTGTTTCCATTTCCCTTCACACAGACATTCACATGTTCATTTAACAAGATACTTTTTGATTATTTGATATTTTCCTGTTTTTCACAATAGTGCCTTCTCTTTCATGATGAAGGGGCCTTTTGAAATAGGTATTTGTATTATCTCTTTTATAGAGACAGTGCTTAAAGCATGTCTTCTTTGTGGTTTATGGAGAAAAATAGTACACCCACCTTTAACAGTACAGAAAGGTACCTTTTCCTGTGAACTTTTCAGTGGTTGTTATATATGAATTTGCTAATGCAGAACAATCTATCTCGGTTTCTTCTCTTGAAGGTAATAATAGTGGGGTGGAGCTGCCAGATTGTCAGCCCTGGTAATACACAGTTGAAGGATTCCTGCTGCTTTTGTTCCCTGGTTACTGGTGTCTGGTTACTTCACATTATTCTTCCCTCCATTTCCTCTCATTTTGCTGAAATGCTTAACTTCCTCCTAGTCTTTACAAGGAAGACGTTTGCATCGAGGGCTAGGTTTTTTTTTATTATTCTTTTTTTAAAAGGAAAGTCAGCATATCCTGCTTCAGCTGTAAGGAAGATACCGGCAGAAGAACTGATGATCCGTTTTCACATTTTTCTCACAGTTCATATGTTTCAAGAAGCAGTTTGCCGGTTATTCAAAATAGTTTATCCAAAATAGCTTGGCTAAATTTAGATTATCTGGCTTAATAAATCAAATAATAAACCTGAAGAGAAGTTTTAGATTACATGCTTACAGGGTTCACTTTCTTATTTTGGGGGATAATGGTAATTATTGAGAGCATCTAACCAGGTTTTAATTTGTTTCCCAATTAGTTTTGCTTAAACCTTGGGAAATATTAATATAATTATTTATATGGATAGTCCTCGTTTATTGACTGCTTTGGACAATGCCTGTTCAGTTACAGCAGTAATGTAAAAGTAACTTTGTGACCAATGCCTACATTTTTGTCCTCAGCAACTCTTTTTCAATCATGTGTTTCCTATTACAGTCTGTTAGTACATGTTGCCTTGTGCTTGACCCATTTTTTCACACACACACCCAGAGTGGAGAGATTCCCTAAGCAAGTTGTCTGTTTCTCCACAATGGTAGTGTGTTCCTAAAAAGTGCTAACCATAAGTTAACAAGTTCACCTCAGTGACCTTAATTAGTTGATTAGAATCTTTTTATGTGTCTGTGCTCCTGTCTGATACTAATAAGACACTAATGAATTTAACATTAAAGGTTTTTGTTTCCCTCCTTAATGGCTAGCTGGTATACTTCCTTTTGAAGTGTACATCCGAAGTGTACACCCCATTGTGTGCCTGCTTACTCTCCTAATCCCTTCCTCTGCAATGAATGTAAATAGAAGCATCAATTATCTTCTTGCTAATTACCCCAGTAAGCATTCCAAAGGGTGAGGAGGTTAGGGTAAATGACCATAAGAGTTGCCCTTTTACCTGGCTTTCTCATGAATTAAGTTCTGGAAACCTTTCCCTTTGTTTAGGCTCACCCAACCATTTGGGATCGTATCTTTCTGACAAAGCAAAGGAAAGCTGAAGTAAAATTGAAAACACTTGTCATAATGTGATTTTCATTTAGTGACTGCTTAACAACCAAGTCACTAGAATCAATTACAGTTCCTAAATGAGGACTATCTGCACTTTAGTTGCTCTAATAAAGTTCCTTCAATAACTCTTCTTTAAATTATGATTTTTGTAGAATGGTCAACAAATTATGGATGAGCCTATGGGAGAAGAAGAACTAAATCCACAAACAGTAAGTAGAATATAGAATATATCAGTAGATTTATACCTTATTTGGATTGTTTCAATTCATAATGGAGAGGGATTTCTAAGATTTAAAAATAAAGGTTTTTATATCAACTGTTTAGTAACACTTGTGCAGAATTTTAGTAAAATTCATTAGATCAATTCTTAATAAGACTAATACACTGATATACTAGGCCTGATGGTAAAGCTTTCTATAATTGTTCCACATTTTTATAGCAAGTGTGACAATAATAAGGCATGGATTGAAAGTCTTGTCAATATGATAAAGCACAAAATAATACTCTTCTACTGTTTACTGTTAAAAGGTTTAATCTAAATGTATTTTAATATATATTCTGCTTTAACAGACTTAATGGTAGATGAAATTAACGTGTCAAACTTCAACATATTCAAAATAGTACTGGGATTAAAATAACTAAAATATCACTGAGTTTGTATCTTATGATTTATGATGATTGCACTTCATGAATATGATCATGATTTATCACTTTTTGCTTGTATGAGAGCTTATGCACCAGAGACAAATTCCTTGTGTGTCCAATCACACTTGGCCAATATGATATTCTATTCTATTCTAAAATCATTGATATATTGGATGCATCAAGGAATAAGGAATAAGTAAGGATTGACTGTGGTCATCTTGCTCTTGGAGATGCAATTAAGAAATTTCAACTTTAACTCATATAAGTTAGAGTTATCTTCTATTATCATGTTTTGGGCTGAAATCAAGAGTATTGATAATATAATCTAGAGAAGTGGGAGTGTAGTGGGTTTTATTATAAGACCCACTACACTCCCACTTCTCTAGTGTACAACATATCAATATAAACTTATCAATTCCTTGTTGAGTTGTACCCCATTTTTGGTTAGTATAATGTCTTTTCCTCAGCAAGCCATTTCTAGTCAGCTTACAAATTATATCAGCCATTCTCTGAACATGAAAACTTTGTGTGCCATTTCATTTGTATTTAATTGTAACAGAAGTTGATAGAATTAAAGCCAACTAAAATAGTAACTATTTTTATAAGTATAAGAACAGGTATGATGTCTCTCTTTGTGTTTGTTTCAAAAATATATGTGCAGTCTCTTATATGAAAGAGGTAATCAAGACTAGCTTGACTTCAAAGTTAAAAGGTGTTTTGCTTGGCACTTCAACGATAAAAACAATCTTCTGTTCTTAAATATAGATAAAATTGTAAGGGAAGGCAAGTTAGTATGAAAATTGTAAATTCAGTTTGATTTCTTCATTATGGTAAATAGGATTGAAGTACCTGTGTTTCCCCAAAAATAAGACTGGGTCTTATACTTTTGGGGGGACCAAAAGATCCATTAGGTCTTATTTTCAAGGGATGTCTTATTTTGTGGTCAGCTGGCCGCTCCCTCCTACCATCCGCTTGCCTGTGGCTGCAACAGCTTACAGCATTTCCCAAGGCAGACACACTTTTCTCCTGGACAGAGAAATGACAGACTGGAATCTGCTAATTGCTCCGTTTCAAAGCATTCCATTTGCAAGCAGACAAGCTTCGTCTCCCTTTGGGTGAAAAGCATTTGGGTGCCTATGGGCACCCCATGGGCAACCAAACTTTTCACCCAGATAGAGAAAAGACAGAATTTGCAAGCAGACCAAGCTACGTCTCCCTCTGGGCAAAAGGTGCACAGCGGCGGCCGAGGCACAGGGAAGCCAGGCAATCCCAACGCACTGTCCACTCTGTCCCACTGTTTCTTGGCTTGCCTGCGGCTGCATCGAGACATGTGCCCATGCAGAGCATCAGGATTGCTTGCCTTCTTCCTCCCCATGCCTCTGCATCCTACTGCTGGTGCCTCCCATGAGCCGGGCAACTGCATAGCACATCCGGATCACCAATCTCTCCCTTCCTCTGCCTGCGTGCTCAGACTTCTCAGTGCTGTGCCAAAGGGCTGCCAGGCTGCGGCTGCTGCCGGACACCCCACCCACGCGCACTTGCCAACTCTAGTGCTGGCCATGCCCCCAGGCTTATTTTTGGGGTAGGGCTTGTATTGGGCCTACCCCAAAAAATCAGGCTAGGACTTATTTGGGGGGTGGTTCTTATTTTCGGGAAAACATGGTATCTGAAGTGCACTTACCTATTACAAGTAATCCTTGACTTGCGACCACAACTGAGCCCAAAATTTATTTTGCTAAGTGACATATTTGTTAAGTGAGTTTTGCCCCATTTTATGACTTTTCTTGTCACAGTTGTTTAGCAAATCATTGCAGTTGCAGTTGGTAACATGATCATTAAGTGAATCTGGCTTTCCCATTGACTTTGGTTGTCAAAAGTTTACAAGCTGATTACATGACTCCAGGACATTACAACTGTCATAAATATGAGTCAGTTGCTAAGCAGCCGAATGTTGGTCATGTGTGCATAATGCTCATAAGTCACTTTTTTTCAATGCCTTTGTAACTCACTAAACGAACTGTTGTAAGTTGAGATATCTGTATATGTTCTTTATATCTGTAATAAGGTTTTATTTGCTTTTGAGCAACAGCGGATTTATTTTAAATATAAACTCATATTTGGAAAATTTATGAACATAATCTAATTTAACTTCAGCAATGTATTTGATCACTCAGTAAATATACAATTAAAAATTCTAGTATAAAATAATAGATAACTAAAATCTGTGATAAAATCCAGTTTGTCAGTTATACATGGTCTAACTATACTAAAATTACAATCCATAAACTGTGGCCCGTTGTCAATTTAATACTAAAAGGGAAAGGAATAAGCAGTGCAAATGGTTTGAAGGCAAACAGACTTAGGGAAAGTTCTGCTATTTCTGGCTCCAGATGCCATTAGATATGCTGTTACTCCTGTCAGCTATCTTAGCCAGTTGGAGTCAGCAAGCCATCGGAAAGCATTTTTGCTCTCATGGTGCCATGCACTTCCATCAGCTGTCCTGTATGGCAAGTATAAAAAGATACCATTGACTGAAAGACTCTGTTCCTGTGGCTCAGGAGAGGTGGAGGCCATTGTTCACATACTCCTTTGATGTGTCAACCCTGAAGCTGGCCTGGCTGAAGCCATCTTGGAGGTTCAGTGCTGCCACACTGGAGCTGAGGGATGTGGGGGGGGATTAAAGATACCCGGGTATGTGTAGTCAAAATAAAATACTTTCTCTTGGGAACCAAGGATGTTTCCACACCTGGTCGGAGGAAGGAGGATTGATGTCATCAACCCATCAAACAGCGCCTTGATTGGACCATGTGACTGATTGGGGTTGAGGGAAAAACTTTTACTTTTAATTAGGTGAAAACCCATGGGACTTTTCAGAGTGGGATTTCACCAGGTAAGTGAATATGGTATTTCCAATAAAGCTATTCTTTGAGGAATAGAATTGCCTTGGAGTGTTGCTTGGAATGGATTTATTACTTGGAACCCTGACAAGATGTTCCTTTTACAGAAAGATTTGGAAAAAACATATTCTTCCAATAATTGCTAGGTATCCTGGCTGTTCCAACACTGCTTATCTCCGGTGGCTGCTTAAGGGTGAAAAGTCCATAAGTACAGCTTAAGTGGCTAGATTCTGCACAGCAGCACTGGGGATTCGTCAGAAACACATGTCTAATGCAGCATAGCTATTTTAGACAACAAATGTGGCAATCCCTTTGCCTGCTTATTCCTTTCCCTTTTAGTATTAAACTGACAATGGGCCACACAGTTTGTGGATTGTAATTTTAGTATAGTTAGACCAGAGGTGGTATTCAGCAGGTTCTGACCAGTTCTGGAGAACCAGTAGTGGAAATTTTAAGTAGTTCGGATAACGGCAAATACCATCTCTTACTGAAGATTTTACAGTATCATTCCCCTGCTATGCCCACCAAGCCATGCCCACAGAACCGGTAGTAAATATTTTTGAATCCCATCACTGAGTTAGCCCATGTATAATTGGCAGCCTGGGTTTATAATAGATTTTAGTTATCTATTATATTATACAAAAAATTAATTGTACATTTACTAAGTGTTTTTATTTGTTCTGGTCTCTGATCTATGACTGTAATAAACTGAAATTGAATTGAATGTATTTGATCAAATATTCCACTATATTTTGTTTAGCGATGTAGTTAACTCTTATCTGAATTATGTTACTATTATATGGACTCACAATTCGTTTGAGAACTAAACTCAAAATATATCTCATCAAAATGAGAGCTATCAGTGATATATTACATAATTTTATCCAAGTGCTCATCAATATTTTTATTAATGGCTTGGTAGGGAAATGCTTAACAAATTTGCCAATGACACAAAGTTGGTCAGGATAACAAATACTCAAGAAATCAGAAACATTTGAAATTATAAGGTTGAAGTAGAGTGGGAAAAATAGAATGTAATACATACAAATGCAGCCTTCTTCACTGACGGAAATAAAACTGTTACTTAGATATAGGATGGACTAAATGCCTGAAAAAAATCTTGGTCTTCTAGTAGTTGATTATGAATTTTATTGTGATTTAGTTGCTAAAAACAGAAATACAATTTGAAATTGCATCTATTCCAAATTGTGTGATGTAATAATATTGTTACATTCTGTACTAGTTACATCTCGTTTATCCCACCCTGGGCACATTTTATTTTAGAAAAAAAGAAAGCTTCAATGAATTGTATCAGTTATAGGGACCAGCAATCAGGACATTCAGCTTTGCAAGAAAAGATCGAAGAAACTAGGAGTGGTTATAATAGTAATAATCATGTAGTTAATCATATATGCAGAGCAGTTATGCTGAACTATTTGATGAATGATATATAAACTGTAAATATTGTACAAGAGGGTTTTTTTTTTAATTGATCATAAAAATCATTGGACTCTTAACTGTATCCAACTATCAAGTTTGCCATATAAATTAAAACATTGCCTCTAAGATCTGAGAATTTTACATTTTCCTGGTTAAAGGGAATTTGGATTTAATATGACTTCTGTATTCAATTTTTCAATGCAACAAACTGAGAAAGCGCATTTGAA